GGGACAGACAACTTGTCTGAAATGCCTTACCATCATCATAATAAACCTGTGTCTATCGATTTCTGTGTGATTACTCCAACTACATCAATAGTGTGTGATATTTGTACTGTAATCATAATATCTCATCTGTGAAAATCCCAAAAATGTAAATCCAAAAAGTAGTGCTCATAGTCTTATATGCAATTAATTTAAATTTCTGATTATTTATTACTGTGAAATCTTCAGAATAACCCAAAATAATATTGAAAAAAACTGTTTTTTTAACACATCAATATTAATTCACATTTACAAATACAGTGGGTAACTGGTTAATGAACAGTTCGGATAGCGAACAAATCGGATAACGAACACTTTTGCGAAAGATTTTTATGATCGGACAACGAACACATGTTGGGATAACGAACACTTTACTGAATAAACATAAAAAGAAACGACGGAAAATAATGAATACCGATTGATTTTCCCTTGTCTTCAGGTAACAATTCTTAACCTTTTGGAGTGCGGGAGACATAACATCGACTCTCAACTCGATACTGATCAGATAGTATTCCTCCATATTTTGAAACTTACCCTTGTAATTCCAGCTTTTTGTTTACCTTTCTGACAAATAATTTTTATAGTCTTCGCAAGACTGTCAGACAGGTACTTGTTAAATTTTGCGTCGGGGTTTATTTACGAAAGGTGAAAGGATATTTGTTAACGTTTTAATACCAAATTTCGAATTTCATCTGGGCCTTGTATTTAAATAATTTTTTGTGGGCTAGTTGATTTCTGTTCTCTGAATTTGTGTAAGTGCTTTTCTGAACTTTTTATTTAAAAAAGAAACTGATAATATTATGATGCCTAAAAAGAGGAGTGTCAAGAACTGTGCTCACCATAGAAACCAAGTAAGAGATAATAGCCAAGGTAGAAAGTGAGCACAAGATGTCTGATTTTGCTAGGCAGTATGGCTTGAACAGGTCTACAGTAGGCACAATCTTAGCTATGATAGATATATAAGAAGTCTCAAGATGCTAATGGAGTAATGAAAATCACATCTGAGAAATAAAGAGCATTTTAGAGCTCATAATGGAACCTGAAACTGGTCTGACGACAGAAGAACTCCAAGAACTCTCAAATGAACAACACCAAGAAACTCAGTGAGATGTGTTTTCTTTTGAAAAAGAGGAAGACGAAAGAGTCAACATCTGCTACTAAAGATCTTTTAAAGAAGTGGAAGGATGTCAGATCATCCAAGCGGCATCCAAACCAGAATAAGGTTAATGGGGTTGAGGATCTCTACAATTATAATACTATTAATTACTTCCAAAAAATCCTGAAGAAAAGAGAAAAACAATCGACATTGGACAGATTCTTTAACCCCCACAAACGGAAAAAACATGACTAATAAAAATGCAAGACTGCATATATATGTATTTTTAGTATTACATGTAAATAAATGTAGTAAAAAAGTATATATTTTTTATTTTTTGGAGTCTCCAGAACGAATTAATCAAATTCCTATAAAAACCTATGGGAAATCAATAATCGGTTAACGAACAATTCAGATAACGAACAAAGTCTTGGAATGGATTATGTTCGTTAACCGATCACCCACTGTATTATCTGATTATTTAACATAAATATTTTTGTTAATATTAATTAAAACACATATTGAAACCATTATTAAATTTTTCTGTTTAAATTATTTAATTTTTTTTTAAATTAGGAATTTAAGTTATTCTTAAAGTGGAATTCCTAAAGTGTTAAGTTAAAGTCAAATCAGGATCCAAAAACTTGCAAACTGAAATTCTCTTCTATATCAAAATTTTTCATCATTAATATACCAAGATCAATCAAATAAAATAAAATTTATTATATTGAATATGCAAATCCACTATTAATTTCAATATTCTAAAATAATATAAAATTGATTTGAGATTTAACATATTTACCATGTACATATATACAATACATATTAAAAAAATTGTAGCTATTAAATACTTACATTGTATTTCCCATAACATTTCCCATATTCATATGAACACTTAACTTTGACAAATTTACAGCAAATAATACTAGTGTTTCCCATGTGCTTCCCAAACGATTTGTATGTAATGGGGTTGATGATTGCTGTGACGACTTACTTTCTTTAGAATCAGTAAATGAAACATTTGAACTTCCTAACTTACTAGTATTTTGATAATCTAAAACAAATTGTATATTATTAAAATGAATAAAGTTCTTTTATTCTAATTATTTTCAATTATAACAAAAAATAGAATGTACCAGAACTTTCTACAAAATTTGGTATGTTGCCTAAATTTAACCATAGATGATCTCTACTATGCTTTCTTCCTTCAGGAACAATTGTTGGGTGAGAAATATCACTTGCTGACACATCAGAAAGACAAGAACTAACTCCAAGATTAGAAATTTTTACATCACCCATTGACTGATCCATTGTTTGTGATGGCAACTGCAATTCTGACTTGATAGGTGTGGTCACCGAAATTGAGCTGTCTATAATTTGTGTAGTTCCTATGGATGTATGGGAAGAAGTAGATACACGAGGAGAACTGAAGGGAAAGCATTCTGCTCTGCTAGCACTTGGTGATAATGTTCCACTGCTACTACTTGTTTCTACTGAATCTTCTATTAAATAGAATCAAAAATATAATAATTTTATTTAATTTATTGCATTAAGTTTTTCTCAATTCAAGTTCAATTAAATGTTAATGTAGTAGTCAATATAAATTTAAGATTATCTATATTAAAAAACTCTTGGAAAATAAAAATAATCAGTTTATCATATCATTTGTATTCATACATTTTAGAATGCCTAACAGAATCCTACATCAGATTGTATTTAAAAAAAAAATAATAATGAAAAATTATAAATTGAATAAATAATTGATTTTGATATTGTAATACACTTCACTATATAAAAAAAAAAATTATTATTGTCATTTAGGATTAAGAAAATGGAAAATGTGATACACATTTAAAAATAACTAAAAAAAGTTTTACTCACTCATTTATTTAAATAGCAACATTTCTTACCTTGATCACTATACAGAGCACTTGTACTTTGATCTCCAAGAAACATTCGTCTTGCAATACTCCGTCGATACCAAGCTTTAGGAAATGCTAAGATTTCAGTAAGACGTCTCATGTCATACTTAAAGGAAGCTGATCCAATGTCACAGATAGCTTTGAAAAATAACAAATATAATAAATTGACAATGCTTAATAAGAACTACATCATTGTTTTGCTTTAATCTTTTGTTTAGTTATTTTTATATTCCCAGAAGTAATAGTAAAGTTTTACGTTCTTTAAAAGTTATTCGGTGTTAAGAAGTGTTAAATATTAATTAATTGTTAGTTGCAAATAATATTCAACTTTATTCAAAATATATCTGAAATCAAGAATGCATACTGAATGAAAAATATGAAAATACAAAATATTTAAAATTCTTAAATACTGTACATAATAGTAAGATATATTCATAGAGTTTGATAAACTGCATTTACCTGAAAATCTAATGACAGCTCCTCCAGAATCACCACTTCTGTTTGGTTTCTGAGATACATTTCCTTCTATATGACTTAAATTAATCTTTCTACTCCGAGAAATATTTACTTTTACGAATTCCACTTGCAAACTAAGGGAATCTTTTCGTTCACTAGTAGTGAGAGGTGACGTTTCTCGACTTTCTTTTCCTGAAATAAAATTTGAAATTTTAATATAATATTAATTTATATGAAAATAATAATGATTCTTATTACAGAAACATGAATAAATCTTCAAGAAACAAAAAAAAAAAATACCTAACTTAAAAGCAATATGTTATATTTATTAGTTTGAAAATAATACACTATTACTTACTAATTATGCTTTAATTAAATATTTAATATAAAATGTAATTTTATATTAAATATTGGCAATGTATTTAACAGTTTAAAATAGCATTTTCTGTAATTTATCTTAAGTAATCTCTCAGTTTGTACTTACTTAAAAAAATAATATATATACTTTATAATTCAATAATACTAAAACACAATATGTTACCTGATGCTCCAGCTTTTTTCCCTCCACCATAAGGATGAAAAATGTAAAGAGAAAAATCTGCCAAACAACCAGTCATGCTGAGCCCACCAACAGCAGTCTGATATACGGTTGATGAATCTACTGGTGGTCGAACATTACCATGTCTTCTGGGTGCAGGTGCTATGTTTACATATTATTATTATTATTATTACTCAATACAAAATTTCATAAAGAATGTACATTATTTCAATGAACAAACAGTAATATATAAATAAATAAATAAATTACACAACCAGAAACTTACTAATACAAATGATGTTGATTTATTTTTTTTAGATAAANCTATTTTTCGAACGTGAGCCTCTGCCTAACCCACGAATGCGGACCTTGTTAATCCGGGCGACGTCCGAGCCGGTATCATACTTAGATCTGGTTACTACCATGATTAATATCTCCACAGAATGTGGGTGTGTGGTCACTCTTAGCTTCATTTCTCCCCGTAGACCTTACTAGCATGGGTGTCCCTACCAGGAGCTTGTGCTCCAGCCTGCATTGCTCTCTGGTTCAGTAAAATTACTGGGCTCTCCCACCAGGACCAGATGGTGACCACGGGGGAGCCATATATGAAGTTTAGGAGGTACCATCTCATTTTGTTTTCATTTCATTTATTTAATACTTACATCTACAACAACATGAATTAGGAAAAAATTTGATGTTTGAAATGGTAACTCCTGAACAGTACAGTATAATGCCTTCCAAAAACACTTAGGAGGCAAAAAGTATATAACAGGATGGGTTATGTAAAAGTTTTATTTTTATAATTTTCTGTGGGGTATTACTTTTAGAAGATGTCCACATAATATTATGATAATTATTTTAAAGTACTACCTGCAGTTTAATATCAAACAGATGTTACATAATAGTTTTGTAAAAGCAAATAAGATTATCAAAATTATTTAGCATTATAACAATTTTATCATACCAATAATTTTTCGGCTGAAACTGATGATCTTCAATACAAGCAATCAATGTTATGTTATTTCCATCAGAATTTCCAAACACAGAACAGACACCCTGGCGATAATGATCTTGCATATAACGAATCCATGCGTCTTGAAGAGCCAAACGCCAAGGTTCTGAAACTTGATCTGGTTCCCAAGGTTGAAAATCAGTAGCTTCTTTTCGCAAGTGATCATATTTGAAAGATTGTTGTGAACGTGGATCATAAAACCTTCCACCCGATAAGGCATTAAATTCAGTAATAAGAGCCTAAAAAAATAAAGTTGTTATTAATGAAAAGTGATGTGAACATGAAATAATAATTAAAATAAAAAAAATACTACTACTACTATTACTATTATTATTTAATTATTTTGTTATTCTTGTTTCTTCTAATTCTATGTCACGACTTGGTGCATTTGTCGACACTTGGCAAATAATTTCATCATCCACTTTTAATTCATACAGATACACATTTCAGGCTTTCGCCCCTCTTCAGTCTGTTACATCGATAGGTTATGACTTGTGTATACAGTATCAGTCAGGCTCAAAAAACAAATAAATAAGCAAGTTCAATTAAAAAAACATAAAAAAGAGAAGACAAACAGTATATTTTAGCAAACGAAAATAGCAGAACTCCTAAGTTAAACATACAACTAAAAACACATAAGCCAGGCGAACAAATAAGACCCATTGTCGACTTCAAAAATTCAGTCGTGTATAATTTAGAAAAATACTTAAAACGAAAATTACAAAAGTACAATAATTCGGAATGCTCCATCAAACACGCAGACAAACTTATACATGACATGGATAATATAAAAATAAGCAAGAATTACAGACTTGCAAGCCTAGATATAATAAACATGTACCCTTCGATAACCTGGAATCTAATAGAAAGTACACTAAAAAAAATTGAAATAAAGGAAGAAGTAATGGATCTAATAGAATTCGTATACAGGAGCAATTATTTCGAAGTCAACAATAAGTTCTACACACAACAGACAGGCATAAGCATGAGATCAGTTATAGGCCCGAAGCTAGCAGAACTTGTTATGGTAGATATAGATCAAGCAATAAAAACATTTACAGGTGTGGCAACAGCTTTGGCAATAAACCCCAAAGTCGCCACAAGGGGGAACCCCTGAACTGAACAAACCTGACCTATGACATCACACATTCCTTGTTGGATTTGGACCTCTCCAGACGCGTGTAGTATCGTTCCATGTTTTAACCCGTACAGTCGTGCCATAATTCATATATAGAATAAATGTTAATCTTTTATTGTATGTGGCCCTGTTTGTAATGATTAATTTCACACGAACTGGTGACCACAAACTGGTGAGCTGAACGTGATACATGTTTTATGGTGCCTCTACCCGACGAAGGACTCTATCGTGCGACATGAAAATTCCATCCATTCGCATTGGATACAACGTTGGACTTTCATCCTTTTTTGGAACTGCCAACTTATACAACTAGACCTTCGAAACGTGTAACCACGGACAATTTTTCGTAGACGGTCGATTTTTTTCAACGAAAAGGTATAGTACACCACGTGCTACCCTTCTTTGTTCTCGCGCCACGTGCCATCCTTTGTTTCCTCGCCACGTGCCTTTACGTGCCATCGTTCTTCGTCCTTTCCCCACGTGCTGAACTGCGCGCACAATGCATCATTTAAGGATAACTACCTCGCACAGCCACATCTACGCAAAAAAAATTCATCATGGCTGAGTCTCCTGGTTGTTGGTAGAACCGACCTACAACTGTCACTAACATCACCTCTGTGACTAATGATTCTCCCTACCACCGTATCATGGCCGAGTTCACTACTATCACAAATCCATCGATAATCCCCGAAACCAAGAAAACGCCAACCACCTTTCATCACATCGAGACTAAAGGACCACCTGTCTTCTCAAAACCCAGACGGTTACTACCACATACGCTCCGAGCAGCACAGGAAGAATTTCGGTTCTTAATGTCCCAAGGCATCATCAGACCATCCAAAAGCCCCTGGGCCAGCCCACTACACATGGTCAAGAAGGCAAATGGCCAGTGGCGACCATGCGGCGACTATCGTCGTCTCAACGCTGTAACAGTCCCTGACCGCTACCCTGTTCCTCATATACAGGACTGTACTCAACTCCTAGAAGGCAAAACCATTTTTTCCACCCTGGATCTAACCCGCGCCTATCATCAAATACCGGTCTTCCCCGAGGACATTCCAAAAACAGCCATAACAACCCCGTTTGGCTTGTTCGAATACGTCTATATGCCTTTCGGCCTGGAGGCGGCGCTAGTACTTCAAAGTTATAGGATGTGGACAACTTCAGCTCTTACATTTTTTATGTTATTTTGTATGCATCTTATTATTTTATACTAGTGTTATACATTTGCTGAATCCGTTTTGCATCTGGAACAAGAGTCCGTCGAAATTTTTCAAATTGGATACTCTGTTAAGAAGTTATGCCATTTTGAAAATTTGGATTCTACGAATTCGGTTTACCGGACTTAGTTGACCGATCATCCAGATCATGGTACGCTATTTTATTAGCACTATGTATGTGAGTAAAACTTTAAAATTTAATTGTTCTGGACTTAATATTTGTGGAATTATCGACTATTTCCGGTCTAAATTCGAACTCAGTTAGCTTTCTTCCGGTGGGCCATTTTCACAAAATACTCAGGCAGTTCTCTTAAGACCCTAAACGTAACCTGCTCAGAAAATTTCGTTATCATCGGACTAATAGTTTTTAAATTACGGCAATTCTTAGATTTCATCAAATTCAACATCCTGTTAAAGGTCATTGACCTCAACTTCTATAAGCTTCTAGAACATTAACCGGAAGTTAGGTTCTTCTCGCTTTCTAATAAAATTTATACTATTTTACTTAAAATGGAATCTATAATGCAGAAATTTCGTGAAACTACTAATGGTATTATGGACGAAATTAGGCAATATTCTCGCCGATTTCCGAACGCTAAATTTGGAGCTGATTGCCACTTATCATTTATCTTAACACAATTCTCGAGATAAGTCAAACTTGCTGAGGTAACCCTTCACAGTAACAATGTAATTAATGAAACATTATCTAGATTAGTAACAAAGGAAGATTTATTAAGATTTACAGAAACTCAAAATAAAGAAACTAGCAAAATTATTAAGGATATTCAATATACCATGCTTACCAATAGGGGAAACATATCAGATGATTTTAGTGGAGGCAATGACTCGTCCTTAGAGTTATAGGGATGTTCTAAAGAAAGGATTAAAACCAATTCTTAATGTAAGTGAGCCGCCTCCGCCAAAATACACAGTACTAGTTTATAGCAATAAGAAAGAGGCTACTTGTGAGGAGACAAAAAAGCAATTAACAGACAATCTGAATCCTGGAGTGTTAGGTATAGGAGTACAAAATGTTAGAAAAATAGGAAATGGAGGTATCGCTGTGGATTTACAACACAAAAATGAAGTCAAATATTTTAAAGAGAATGCAGAAAAAATTCCTAATCTAAGTGCAAAATTACCTAAAAAAAGATTACCTCTGATAAAAATAGCATCAGTACCTAAATGTGTAGCTAAAGAAGATCTAATCTTGCAAATTTTTGAGCAGAATGCATATCTATTAGATACTTTTACTGATAGAATCTTTGCTGAACAGGTACACATTAAGTTCTCATTAAATGAGAAGAATACTGAAAATGTCTCCTGGGTACTGGAAGTAACTCCAGAGATCAGACAAAAGATGATAAAAGCTGGGAAAATTTATCTACAATGGTCTTCATGTCGTGTTTATGACTACATTCCAGTAATACAGTGTTACAGATGTCTATCTTTCCATAACTTTGCTAAACGTTGCCCTGAAAAAGAAAATATATGTAGTCACTGTAACGAGAAGCATCTATTTAAGTGTTGTCCAAATAAGCAGAATCCACCCAAGTGTATTAATTGCTCCCGAGGAAATTTAGACAATAACGATCATAACACCATGGATAAAAATTGTCCAGTTTATATTAAAGAGAAAGCTAGACTTCAACAGATGACTTTATGCAGTTGATATATATTCGTGATAACTACATTGTTGATATACTTTCGTATTGACTGCATTATCTCCTACTATGTTTAGCACTTCTCTCTTTAAATGTGAATTCTCTGTTTGATAATTGATTGTCGTTAATGCTTCATATGTAGCTAAAATATTTAACACGTATAACGCCATGCGACGCGCACGCCGTCGTAATGGAAATTCCCGTACAGCGCCATACGACCGCCGGTAGACGTAAACAATGTGTTTTACTCAAGGTTAAATTTTACTGGCGNATATTTGATTATATTTATTTTATTGTTAATATTTCCATTATATACTCATGTAATCTGTCTTAATTATTTCTGTATATTATGTTTATTTATTGCATATAATTTTACTCTGTATTCTATGTTATACAATGCATTGAATTATCGTTATATATCTTGTATATTTAATATCTTCCTGGTAATGCTAATTGCGGGGCCAGGAAATGTGTATTAACACGTTGAATAAAATGAATGAAATGAAAAAATTAATAAAAAATCTCTTACTTGGTTTCTACGGTGAACACAGTTCTTGCTTGACACTACTCTTTTTAGGCTACATAATATTATCAGTTTCTTTTTTAAATAAAAAGTTCAGAAAAGCACAAAAATTCAGAGAACAGAAATCAACTAGCCCACAAAAAATTATTTGAATGCAAGGCCCGGATGAAATTCGAAATTTGATATTAAAACGTTAACGAATATCCGATGGGACAGTTAAACTTTCACCTTTCGTAAATAAACCCCGACGCAAAACTTAACAAGTGCCCATCCAACAGTCTCGAGAAGACTATAAAAAATTATTTGTCAGAAAGGTAAACAAAAAGCTGGAATTACAAGGGAGTGTTTCAAAATTCGGAGGAATACTATCCGATCGGTATCGGGTTGAGTGTCGATGTTGATGTCTCCCGCGATCCGAAAGGTTTTAAATTGTTGCCTGAAGACAAGGGAAAATCAATCGGTGTTCGTTATTTTACGTCGCTTTTTTTTATGTTTGTTCAGTAAAAAGTTCGTTGTCCGATCATAAAAATCTTCCGCGAAAGTGTTCATTATCCGATTTGTTCGTTAACCAATCACCCACTGTATATTCTTCAGCAGCATTAATCTGCTGTTTCCAAAAAATAACCATTAAAATGTTCCATTTTTTATTTCTTTACAATCAAATAGCTTTTTTCCAATGCCGGACATTTTACACATTACACCGGCGTATTTTTAAGCTGAAAAAATCTCGAAAACTAGAGGTTGCCTTATAGGACGGGTATAAAATGCGAATCTTTACCATAGAATTGCAAACAAGACGATAAGCGCTCAACATATAAGGGTGTGACTATGCAGTCGCGAACGAGCGAGAATATGTGACGAGAAGAGGTGATAACATTTCTCGCTCTGGTTAAGTGAAGTACGACCACACCGAAGTGAGCGAATGGAAGAAAGTGAAGATGACGATGTCGCATATTCGCTTTGAACTCGTCATAGAGAAGCGTGAATGGAAGTAAAAATCACTGTATGGAACTCTATGGAAGTAAAAATCAAAATAGTTTGACGCTTACTACTAGCAAAGAGAAAACTTTTGCTATTAAGATTACTTTGTAATTAACACAAAAAGAAACGAATACTGTATATGGTGTTCCTCCTCTCTGGAAACAGCGAAAGGAAAAAGGTTAGTTCACATTAAGCAAATAGCGAAAGCAAATGAGAAAAGCGGAAAGGGATTTTTATTTGCTTAGCGAAATTGTCCCACACAATCAAAAGTGAAAAGCGATTGCAAATTTTAAGCAGCCAATCATTTTGCCAAAATTTTAAGCAGCCTGACGCTATCGTCCTATTAGAGGAAAGCGAGACAATGCCACGGCCGCATTGGGTCGGAAGGCACACAAAATTGGCCTCGGGATAAACGCCGTGAAGACGAAAATATACATGTATGTAACACTGCCCAAACGCGGGAAGTAATTGTCGGAGACAACGATTGGAGTGGAGAGAGTTATCTACTTGGGTAGTGCTATTTCCCAAAATGGTGACACGGAAAGAGACCACATCAGAAAGCGAACAGTCTTCTGCTGGATGAACAAGATCTGGTCCTCACCATCCATCTCATTGAGAATCAAATTCCTCCTGTTCACCGTCATTATGATTCCGATAACTGTTAATGCTAGAGTCCTGGAAGACATCGGAAAACA